CCCAGGTGGATGCTGCACATTGGTGGTGGTGGAGGGGAGTCCCCATTTCCTGTAAAGCGCTTTGAGTGGAGTGTCCAGAAAAGCGCTATATAAAAGTAAGAAATTATTATTATTACATAACCATGGCTAACCTTGTCTACTTAGTGACAAGCACTTCAGAGGAGGATACATAAAAAACTGGTTCCCACAATAGTACTTATGCAACTCTGATTTTCATAAATCTTTCAACATCTCTGATCAATGTAAAATCCACAAAAAGCCTGTTTTTTAAATTTGTTGTACAAACTGTTGTTTGTTCTGTTCTACAAATAATAGGTTAATGATTAAAACTGAGATTAGGTTTTTATTCATTTTATTGAATAACAGAACATGGTACTGTTTAATTAACATCTGACAGTGCATGTCACATATTTATCTCAGTAATAACCACATCTAATGCAAAACAATAAAAAATAATCTATTAAACTATTTTGTCCCTGAATTGGTATAATAGTACATTAATTAGATCTGTATTTTTGGACATACGATAAGCATCACATAAATCCTGAAAGCTGCTTTGCTTTTCATTGCTAGGATAAGTTTAGACATCAGCAAGGAATGCAAAAAAGGGACAAAAGGTTATCCATTCATTAAAACAAGGCCAAATTGGCTAGCTAATGTTTTATTCAAATTACTAACCTCTGCGCCAGAATAATTGGTAGTCTTTGACAGTCTCAAAGATACCCTCAAGCTATTTGGGACTGCATATCTAATAATTAAAATACATCTGGTGCTGGTCACTGGTCGTGGCAGCTGTGATCATCTTACCTTATCTATATTTGTAGTAGTGCAGCTTTCGGTATAGCTAGAGGACATCACAGGACCAACACTAAAACATTACTTACAGGTATTATGAGATATAATTGAAAATGATGGACACATCAGGGGGTCACAAATTTAAATTGCACCCCAGTGTATTATGCATGGATCCATATTCTGCTTACAGATGAAGCCTGGCAAGGTTCCCAGCTGCTGTTAAGGACAGTTTCATTTGCTCAAGGGAAAGATGTAATTACAGTGCTGCTCTCTAGATATTAAAAATACAATTTTAAGTACAATTTGTTTTCTGACTTTTTTTTTTTACATTGATTAGAGCATTTCAGTTTGTTTTCCTACACAGGGGATTTAGATAGCAGAAATATTTTATACCTGTATGAGCCTCATTGACTTTTTAATCATCTTTGCCTTTCCTATTTTTCTGCTCTGTAGTCTAACATCCTAAAGGGCATACTGATATAATAAGAATAATAATTAATAATAATTTCTTACACTTATATAGTGCTTTTCTGGACACTCCACTCAAAGCGCTTTACAGGTAATGGGGATTCCCCTCCACCACCACCAATGTGCATCATCCACCTGGATGATGTGACAGCAGCCATAGTGCGCCAGAACGCTCACCACACACCAGCTATTAGTGAGGAGGAGAACAGAGTAATAAAGCCAATTTATAGATGGGGATTATTAGATATACAGTAATAAGATGGATGTCAGACATTCTCTAGATAGCTACCATCTTTGGCATGGGATTGTTGTACAAATCGTTCAACTTTTCCAATTTTCATTACCATGTCTGTAGCCATGGAGACCACTTGTTTCTCTTGGTGCACTTGGGCACTGTTTATTTAGGATAATCTTCTTCTCACCAATGCAGTTATCAAGACAAGGATTGTCCCATTTACAGTTGACATTTAATTCTGATTAGATTATTTGTAGTGGCAACAATCTAATAATCCTACAAAATAGTCTCACAAATCTTTGGGTTTTTTTTCCTTATCAGTTTTATCAGTGTATACTGCTGGGTATACCTTCCAAAAACAGTGCCTTGCAAGTATTATTTTGTTATCCGTATGCCTGTGTTACAGGTATGCGTTAATATAGGAAGGGTATAGTTATCTTCACTAACACAGACACATCCGTGTTGCACAGGCAACTGAGTATTGTTCTGTGGGGTGGAACATTCTGATCCCTGTTCTTTACACTGATTTCTCATGATATTGTATTAAATGAAATGTAGGACTAAGAAAATAAGGAATAATAAATAATAAATAAAGGAAATACAGTAACTTAAAAACCATAAATACTGTATACATAAAATACCAATTAAAGGTACCTGCTTTTTGCAGGGTTTAGTAAGAACTGAATCTGTAGAAGTGACTCACCTTCTGTTTGCTATTCTGTTCATGGCAGGAGAAAAGCTGACATCCTATTTGAAATGACTGAACTAGTCCTTGAAAGGAGAGCACATGCTACTTGATCTGAATAGCAATGACAAAGAGCCCTTCACTGGAACCATTAATTCCCCACTGCACAATAGAATAAGCTAAGAATGACAGTAGCTGTAACTGCTCATTTTGCAACATTGGTATTCCAGCTAAATAGTACCTTGGGGTTGAGAAAAGTAGCAATTGTGTTGACAAAAAGACACCAACTGTCCTCTCATTGGCAACAGTGTTTTCAATTGTACCATCAGTCAAAACCAAAGCATTTTGGATCTGTAACACTCTGCTAAGGAGATACTTTTTTAATAGTAACGCAAACATGTGTTTAAGAAAACAGCCATTGTTCTTAAAAAACCTTAGTTGGTGTACACTTGGTTAGGCTATACTTGATTTCCTTATTAACATTCTGTCAGCTTTTTATGAAACAAGTTGAATAGCTGTGCTGCATATTTCGTCTGTTAGACATTCACTCTAAAATTTTTCATGCTGTTCCATGTACAGTATAAATTAAATGAAATGGATGTATACAGATCCAGTATCTTTTTTGTGCTTGTATGCTTAATTGCCAAATCTGATCTCCAGCACTAAATATTGCTATTTTACCACTATATCACTAATCAGTGTAATATACTGCATATGAAAGAAGTATAGTCCAGATAGGTTTTGATGATGTTATTGATTCTGTTTAGTTATTATCATTGAATTAAGAATGCCAAAATGGCTAATTCTATTAAATTGTAAATACAAAAAATATAATTATATCCCAGGTCTTTAATATTTTTATTTATTATTTTCAGAGTATTTGAGTATCACAGATGAATTTATTGTACATTTTTTTCTAATAATAAGAAAATAAATGATATGATGTCTTAGATGGCCTTTTTTCACAGAGGCCACATAAGCTGTTCTGTGTGATGTGATCTGATGTACAGTTATCTTGCTGATGTACAGTTCAAGGATCAATAGTTACTTTGGCATCTTAATTCCATTTTTAGCACCTGGACAACCTCATGTGCCACATTTGAAATTGATTTAGACTTTTTTATTGAAGTGATTTATTAAGTTTCTGCCATGTTTGTGATGTAGTAAAGACGTTTATGAGACAGTAAAGAAGACATTTTAAAATTTAAAATTTGTATTTTTTTTTAAATTTAATATACTCTAGGTAAACCATATTTAAAGGAAAAAAACATCTTTGTCCTCGGGACACATTTTCCAATTTTGATTAATGTAATTGACCTGAAGTTTGGATGTATAAAAAAAATGAATTATTTTACAGTGACAAGTCAATGTATTGCACTAAAAATAATCTGCATTAGAGAAAATTGTGTTTTATGAATTGCTCACAAGTTTCAGTTTTTTGGACTTAAACCATCTATTGCATTTTATCTGTTTGTTGCCAAATGGTCTCCCTTAACAGCCCTTAAAGAACAGGAAATTGCTTTAGTCTCCTGTGAAATTGCTTTGTGTTATCCCAAAGTTAGTTAAATTCTTTCTTATTATGAGGCATAGATGAAAAATGGAAAAGAAAAATAGCAACGTCAGGGTTACAGTTATTTCAGAGTCATGTTTTATCTTGAAGAAGTTAGATTTTCCCTGAACATTATTTAAATATTAACTTTAGAGTTGTAGAATAGGAATACAACATACAGTATATACATACAGATAGTGGTTGAAGGAAATGAAAACACCTGGTAAATAACAGATACCAAGAGTATTATAGTTTCATACATGTGAGCCTCATGTATTAAGTAAACAAACAACAACCCAGTGTGCTTTGTTATGTATAAAAATGATGAACATAGTTGCCTATAATTATGATTGGCATGCCTGCCAGAGGAGAAAATTTCCATGGTCTGTGAGAGGAAACTGGAGCACCTGGCAGATACCCATAAAAACACAACGAGAACATACAGACCTCACAAAGATAGCACACCAGGAATTGAACCCAAGACCTTACCACTGTGAGGTAGAAATGTTAGCCACTGTGCCACCCAAGCCTAAAAGGAAGTACTGTATTTGGAACCAGCTGCTAGACTCTGCCATGTGTAGAAGGCACATGATGATAAACTATTTAAGTTTTAAATGTTAAACTCTATGTATCTGTAAAATAAGTTGTCAGCAATAAACTGCATTTTTGTCCTAACACGGCTCCAATCTGGTAAAAGTTCATACCATTAATATACTGGTTCAGGGATAGTCCATGTTAATGTACAGTATGCATTGTAACGTGTGAACACATTTAATGAGCTAGCATCATATACCCTAGCATAGCAAGTTTGCTCCTTGTCTTTCTTATGCATGTATGGAATTGGGAGATGTACCTGAGTTTAAATCAGAGGTTCCACATTTATATTTCAGTTCAGTTCAATTATAAATTATTAAGATAATTAATTTAAATTCTGTCACTATAATTGCATTATGACCATTGTGACATCTGCTTTGGCAACACTGAGATACAGCAGTCGGTGACAACGTCTAGTTTCAGTTTCCCCAGTTAAGAACTGAAGTAGATACAAGAAATCTTGTCTTAAGTATGCAGTCAAGCCTAAACTTAAAAAGTCTATAGTGTCTTTTGTTTTATGCTTCTTTAGTGTTTTTACATTTTGAGGTGGTTCTGCTCCCTTGAGTTCAATCATGAAACAGCCCTCGTCTTTCCTGGAATCTGAAGAGCACATATCTCATACTTCACAAAAATGTACTGTATGTTTATTCTTTGCTATTTTTTTATCTTTACAGGATGTCCTGGGATGTGGGACAATATTACCTGCTGGCAGCCTGCTATGGTTGGACAAGTGGTCAGTGTCCACTGCCCAGCATTATTTCAAATCATAAACTCTGAAGATGGTGGGTAATTTTAAACTATTAAAATGTGTGCATGTGCTGAAATAAGAACTTAGTTCAAAATTGATTGAAATGCAGTTCTAAGTTTAAGTTTATGTGTGTTTACCTAGATTTATAGTTAAGAAAACAAACAAAAAATTATAAGAATGTAACTAAATATACTGTACCAGTGATTATTATTACTTTTTTACTCTGTGCATTTTCTCATTTTTATCTATGGTTGAATAACATTAAACAATTAACTAAAGAAGTGATTAATTCTTTTATGAACATTGTCACACAGATTACGGATAAATCATCACTTTACAAGCTGCGATTGGTTGTAATTTTCCCTCTTCAGTATTTTATTATATTCAGGGACTAACTATTAGATTGGCCAAAGCACTACCAACACAGAAGCTAAGAAAGAATGATCATCTTTTGTACCAGGATGGGCAACAACCAAGGAAATTGGGATTGTGTCTAGTGGTATTGGTGTGGAGCATTAGATGGAAGAATTTCAGGGGGTTATCTGGGACACGGGCTGTAGGAAATAGCATCCTTCAGATAAGGCATTAAAAAGAATCCACATAACTCATTCACTTGTACAATTTGGGCTTAAACATGTACAATTTGGCCATCGTAAATTTTCATCTTATTTCAGTTGTGAAGCAGTTTTCTTTCCACTACCAAAAATCTACTGTAGGTAGTGAGACCTCTGGTGCAGAATATGATAATTGATAATTGTGGCTACATTGTTCAGCTGCTGCTTTTAAATTCTGCTAATTAAAAAATAAATAAACTTGTTTAATCAAAGCAAATAAAAGTAATGTATTTTAAGGTAATCTAACTCATGAGTTAAGGCTACCCAGTCATGCTGTCAAATACCTTGGTTTCTTTAATTAAATATCTGGGTGAGTTTCCCAAATCTGTTAGGTACAGATGCAGCCATTCAAAATGGGTGAGGTATTTCGCGGCATACCCCGGTGGGCGTGTCGCGGTATCACACGGTATCACGCGTTTCACGTGTGTCACGTGACTAACTATCCGGCGTCGCCTTGTAAAACCGCCAGGGGGAGCTTAACCTCTCATGTACAGCATTTGAGCCTTTAA